CGCCCCCCTCCTCCTCCTCCCCTGGCCCCCGGGCCGGCCCGGCCAGGTAGGGGCAAGGTCGCCGGGCAGCGCGCTCCCCCCGCCGGGCGCAGCCACCGGCCGCGACCGGGAGTCTGCGAAAGAGAAAAAGAAAAAGCGGCGGCGGCAGAGAGAGAGGAGAGAGAGAGAGAGCTCGGGCGGGCGGGCCGAAAGCTGCAGAGCCCCGGACAGGGCGTGCGGACGCCAGCATCCCTCGGCGGAGCGTGGATCTGCGGAAGGCTGTCAGCACATCATCTGATTTATCGGCGTTTGTACGGAGGGGAGGGGAACGGGGGGGGAGAAGAAAAGAAAAGAAAGGCACGAAAGCACCCCGAACTCGCCTCTCCCATCGAGGGGCTTCTGAACGCAAAAAGAACTTCCCCGCTTTGCAATAGAATATTGACGTTCTGCCGCCCGATCGTGCAGACTGTATTTCCCATTGCCCTTTCTTCACCATTTATTGAAAAATAAAGAAAAACGCTTACTTTTTTTTATGCTCAAGGAGTGACACGTTTAAAAGGTTCTTTTAAACGTTCCCATTCCGCCACAGCATAGCATTCATTAAAGACACAGTGCTGCACCAATATTGCTTCCTAGTGCCAGTGGTGAAGGGGCGGGTTCCGACAGTCCTGAGCAACGCAGCAGCCCAGCTGAGCGCTCTCAGCTTCACACATTTCTTCAAGATTTACTCCAAAAGTACCGAAATCAGAGCCAGGGATTTTGAGTAAAAACAAGCTGGGCTTTACAGTTCTCATTAGGACAATTATTTCCAAAGGCTAAATGTGTACCACTTACCATACATTTTGCCTTCATCTGATAAGATGATTTTCCTCCTCCCACACGGTGGATAGATAGCTAGAGCCTCCTGAAAGCTCTGTTCAATGTCAGGGCTCCAGACACCTTCTGCATCATTGTCAATAGGTTTATCTGCAGAATCACTCATTCTTTCAATATCTTCGGCAGGACTCTCGCTGCCGCTCCAGCTGCTGGGCTCAATGGTGATGGCTGGGGTCTCCAAGCCTAAGCCTGGAGTCTTAAAGGAAATAAACCTACAAAACAAACAAACAAACAACCCCAAAAGGCATTAAAGACATGGAACTTCAGGCAAGCGTTTCTCTCTACTTCTGATACTAAGTTAACAGCAGCTGAGCAGTAATGGCAATAACACTAGAATGGGAAGCACCCAGGAAAAGTAAAAAATTAATAGCCGTTCTACCTCACATCAGCAGAGGTGGAGCGATAAGGTTGTCAGAAGGGGAACTCTTTACCACATTTTCTGTGTGCAATTACATAAAGGCACAGAGCATCAGGTTATTTTTCACAGATAGTCAAAGTTCGGGGAAACTCTGCAGCACACGACACATTGCATCTGGCTGAAGATTGGCACCCTTAAAATAATGAGCCAGATCCTCAGGCGGGGGTAAATCAGCATACTTCCACTGGCTGGAAGGGAGGCACACCAATTTACGCCACAGCGACCACCAGAGCCTAAAACCACCTGAACCTAAAAACAAAAGCAAAAACTATTGTTCGCATTCATCCAAATGTCAGTGGAGTAAATGGAATTACACTCGTGATGACACAGCTCAACGTGATTAACTGGAAAAGGCTGTAATTTTCAGATCTTACCCAAATAAATAATACAATCAGAACCTGAGCTGCATACAAACAGAAATCTTTAAAATGATAACACTAGAGAAAGGAATTACAAGAAAAGATATATACTTTGCCTGTTTTAAAAGGTCTCTGTCAGAGAACCATAGCAGAACAAAAATTACAAGCTTCAAGTTGCTGAATCAATTTAATAAGAAATAATTTAATATAGCTGCACCTGCTCACACCACCAGAGCTGCAGATCTGTCAGTGTTCCTTTTATATTTTTGAGAGAAATACAACTCTGCTATAAAGACTTGCTCCAGGCAAAAAAGCTGCTCTACCAGACCAAATTCACCTCTGGTGTAATTCTTCGGGAAGTCAGTGAAATAACACCAGGAACAGATTTGGCTCAACATGTCTAGGCATAATGCAGTTTTATTTTGAAAAACGAAGAAGTTTGGTGACTCTAACTGATCTAAGTAGATGGGAGTGTTCGAACATGCAAGCATGAGCTGCACACGCACTTAAAAATCCAGTTAGTTGGCTAAACACTCAAAAACCCCTCAACTATACCATTTTTATTCTTCTGGGGGAGATGAAAGCAGGCCCTTTCCATATGCAGAAGAGAGGGGCTTCCCCTTCTGCACACCTCCATCCTCCCGCTGATACATCTCTCCTCTCAGTGGGGGCTCAGTACATTGTAAAATAACAGGTGAAAAGTGGCAGCACAGCATTCACCCACGGAGAAAGAAGGGGAGGCTGTACCTCGGAGGCTGTGACAGCTCTGACGAAACACCTTTGGACTGGAGAACTCCCCGAAAGAAGAAATATTTACAGCAGCACTCACCCAAACTAACCAATCACTAGAGATAACCAAAACCTGATAGTCCAGTCCCTTGGAGGCTATGGCGCCTTGCAAAAAAACAGAGCTGAAACTGGGGAAACGGGGAGTAGTCTCAGTCTCGCTAACCAACGTTACCAGTTTGACATCCCAAGTATGGGGTATTTCCACTTCTCCAGGCTCTAACAGGAGCTCGGAGGGATCAGTACATGCAAAATGGACTCCCGAGAACTTTATTTTCCTTACTTGCATGTCTGTCTTTACAAAGAGGCATTTCTTAACTTCATATTAGTTTGAACATTGCAGCACAGCTTATGAAAATGTTAGTGGCTACCCACCGGTAATCTCAAGGCTAATCAGTGTCTCAAATTCCTTTTAATAACTGATAACGAGGGAGCAGATGGATTCACAGGGAAACACACACAAATGATAAGTGGGTGGGAAGTCTGGCTAAATACAGCACACATTGCCTGGGAAATCCAAAATGTACAAAATTTTTAAAGTCTCATCACAAAAAGGGAGATGGCAACCTTTCTAAAAGAGTGAAACGCCATCCTTCATAATTCTCAGAAGGCTGAAGCATTGATTTCAACCCTTGCAAGATTTGAACCTTGTAGCAAGATTTAGCCAAAACGTAAACACAGCAATACTGGGAAAGAACTAACAAAACCAACCATGTCCACTTAAGCCTTCAAATACAGGGGGAATTTTAGGTAAACGAGAGGTAATTGAATGTTGACTGGGATAATTAGGGGGGCTGCAGTTTTACTGCCACAGTGCAGGGAAAAATGGCTACTGGAGATTTTATTGGCCTCACGTGATCGAGACCACGGTTTAGCATTTCACTAGAAGACAGCACCGAGTGGGGCTGTTTACTGGGTCAGTTCTTCAAAGGTGACTCAGGGAGGAAATCCTTCCCCTCCCCGATCCCTGGCATGACAGCACGCAACGCACAGCACAGCCATGGGCATCTTTCGCTCAGCCCAACCACCCTCTGCTTACAAAATCTGCCACAGTCATAGCCTCAAGTCTTATTATCATCTTATAAACCAGCCCTTGTTATTACATTACGCTGAAATAATAATTAAAATGCACACAAGGAAAACAGCGAGGCTCTAAAGTCATTAATGGTACTTGATATTCATGTTAGATCTTGCATTGTGTTTACTGGTGAATTTTCACTAATGTGCTATCTCCCTTCACATTCCTTTTTACCTACTTGGATATCATCTTGAGGCATTAGTAGCTACTATTCCAGCCTGTAAAATGTAAGACAACCAAGTGTTTCTTCCAGAACATCTGTACAATAGGGGCGGGGAGCAACCTGCTGGAAAAAAAAAAAACCCACTCATACTAAAGGTTGCTTTTAGTGATTTCCATTTTGGTGAATGCTGACACTGCAGATCAAGCTAGAGGACTAAGGAGCAAAAAACCTTGTATTAGAACCACTAAATGGCTCCCTCTTATTTCAGGAAAATAACGAGCTACTCAGTTAATCACTTCCAGCTCAGCTCTACGTATCAAAAGGCAATTCCACCTCCGTCGTAGCTTGAATTCTAAGGACCCAACTGTGATGAAAAATTTCAGACCTGTTATGCTGGAGTTCAACGTGATTATCAAAAATAATACAAGCTGTCAATAGATGAGCTTTGTTGCACATTTCTAATGTGCTATAAATCTCATGTGAAAAATGCAGATTTACAGTCCAATTTAAATTTGTAAAAAAATCAAAAGTAAAAAAAAGCAAGCCTTCCTTCTATCAGCAAACTCCAAATCTTACAATACCAACTTTCAGTGCAGGAAGAGTTAATCTCCTAGAGGCAATTAACCCCACCCCCCACCCTCCCCAAAAGCAGAGCTTGCACACATGACAGATCAAGTTGAAGAGTTCTGTATTTGCTTTTTATCATGTTAACTTTTAGAGAACCAATTTCGTGCTTGTACTTTCTGTTAACAAAATTAAAACACCTCAACACTACTCACAAAACCAACAACAAAAAAAGCCCAACCCCAAAACCAAAACCAAAAGCAGATTTTGGCTAACCTTTTGGTACTTTCTAAGATTGCTTAAAGCACACTGCTGCAGTTTAGGAGGTCTCTCTTCAGAGTTTCCCTTTTAACACCAGTCTCTCTCTCTTGCATATTTCAAGACAGATTCCCCTGTGCGTAAAGCTCTCTTAGTTGCAAACTTGAATGCATCTTCCTTGCAGCCGCTTTCTATTCTCTCCAGTTAAGTAAATTCTAAGTATATCTGGTTTTCTCACATAGTTATTTGACACTTTTGCTATGCATGATGGAGGTATGTTCCCCCCTCAAACAACTCAATGTTACATTTAGCAATGGAGAAACTATTAGGGACAATACTGGATTTTATACATACATTTTATAGCCAATCCAGTCAATACAGCTTCGTGAGGTACAAGTTATGACTTATTTTCATTATGTTCACTCAGTAGAGTAACTTGAAAAGTTATTTTAAAAACTCAGAGAAACAAGGATAGCTATTGTCAGAGCTGATCAAACCAATGAATTTAACTAAAACCAAATGATAGTCTGCAACGTCTTATCAAGGGAATGATTTCTTTGCTTGCATAAAACACTCTCTTATGCCTTCACTTTACGAGCAATGCAAACCTGGACTTGCCCCGAAAATTGCTGCTCACAGACCAACAACTGAGATCAATAGCTCTTCACAGGAGTGTAGGACAAGTGCAGATTTAAGGCCTTGATATGTTTCATATCCTTCAGTACTTGCACAATGAACTAATACGGAAACATTGTCTTTCAAAAGTCATCAGAGCCGAATCTTATTTTACAACATCTTACAAAAGTTAAACCATTTTCTCTGTTTGTCCAATTAATTTACTTTCTTGAATTTCAGTGTACAGGTGCTGAATGGTGCCTTTACTGAGGTATCACATAACCACTGGAAGAGGATTAATACTCTGCAGGTTTTGGTGCAGGAACATGAGAAAGACTAAAAACATGTCTGGATTCTGAGAGATGTCTGAGAAAAAATGATTACGACTCCCCAGTCTTCTAAATTGTGTCTGCTTGAAGGGGATCAAGTGCAGATATTTTTTATATAATCTGCAATGGCACCTGCAAGAATTTGCAGGTGAGAAAGCACCAGTGCCGCTATCCACACTGATCTTCTGGCTATGAATGGCTGCAGAAGGCTACCAAATAATTCTTACAACCAGCCCAATACTTCTAAAACAGATCTTTCAGAAAAATCTTAATTCTAAAGGTAAATATTTTGAGTGTTGAAGTGGTAAATTACACTTTTAAGAATATACTTTATTTTTAGTTCATGAGTAACTTCATCTTAGCTTCAGTTATATAAAAACAATGGGACCAGGGAATCCAATAAGCTTTTTATAAACATCAAGACAATAATGAGCAGATGAGTAAAAAACAGCTAATTCTAAATTTGCAGACAGCAAATTTTCTCTCAAGGCTTGAAAACTTACAGGCCCATGGGATTTTCCTTCTGCTTTGTTCAGCAGTATAAATCCACAGCTGGAGCACTAAGGCTCTGGAGAGAATCCAGAGGAAGAAAGTTATCAGATCTAGAAAACATGACC